CGTATCCTTCTTGCTGTCGTTGAACTTCCTCTCTTTTCTAACAAAGAATCTAAATACATAATCCAGAAACTGAAAGTGTCACGGTGAATGTATTTTGACACCAGTATGAGCAATGAATGAGGAAGATGCATACTTAAAAGGGTGTGTGATTCATTTCTACATGGGGTGGAGAGAGGTGTTGTAGAAATGTCAAATAAATGGTGGTGCATGAAACCAGGTTGTCTTTATTACTTTAATTTAATTTTGTAAGAGGCTCAAAGAACAGTATAGATTATGGCAACACTTTGCATGTTTTTGGTAAAGTTATCTACCAAAGTCACAGGATGCCATTAGAACACTGAGTAATAAAAGGTAACTGATATGTCAACATCTGAAGGATTACGTGAACACAGAATATGTTAACATGAAGCATTTCATTCAGCAATGTAGCCTGACAAACAGAAGAAGTCTCCTGTTACAAAGGGTGCAAACAAAGAATACACACAGGCAATGCTGAGAAGAAAATTATAGCATTAAAAAGTAATTTCAAACACTACAGCATAAATAGGGCCTAACAGTTGTGTTTTTAAAAAAGAAAAACCAAAAACAAGGACCAACATAAAAAGGTCAATGTGCTTAAGTAACTCTGTAAGTTGAAGAGAAAAGGAGACAGATTAGTGGTTACTGCTGCTGCAACATGTTTTTGCATTGTAAAAGAATAGAAAAAGCAGCCTCCTGCCATTCTGTGTTCAGGTTTGAGAAAATCCAATAAAAGGAGGTTTTAGTAAAGAGAAAAATGCTTTGTTTTGCTTCTTGATATACTTAACTGTAGACCACCTATGAATCATTCAAACATACAGTTAGGTCCATTAATATTTGGACAGAGACAATTTTTTTCTAATTTTGTTTCTGTACATTATCACAATAAATTTTAAATTAAACAAGTCAGATGCAGTTAAAGTTAAAGTTCCAGCTTTAATTCAGTGGGTTGAACAAAATATTGCATAAAATGTGAGGAACTGAAGCATTTTTAACACAATCCCTTTATTTCAGGGGTTCAAAAGTAATTGAACAAATTAAATACCTGAAAATAAAACGTCTGCTTCGTTACTTGGTTCAGGCTGCCATGCCTTCACTGACAATGGCCGCCTGAAGTTTTCTTTCTTTCTTTTTTTTGTTTGGTGCCAGTTTTATTGCAACACTTGAGAGCAGTTCTGTCTGGCTCAGCAGTCGTACATTTAAGTATGTATGTGACATCTACGAGGAGTTCAAATAACTTAATGTTATTTTCAATCAACCTAGCCTTTGTACTGAAACATGGCAAGTTACAGTTGTCATAGTAGATCCGAGTCCTCTCTGGCACACAGGACGGGTTAATCCTGTCGCTCTTGTTCGAAAACCTGCCCTTCCTAATTCCACAGTCCTCCGGGAGCCCCTGTGTTGACATACGTAAATGGCAGCCTGAAGTCTTGAATTCATGGAATTCACCAGATGCTTGGTTTCCTCCTTTCTAATGCTCTGCCAGGCCTTTACTGCAGCAGCTGTCAGTTGCTGTTTGTTTGTAGGCCTTTTTGCCCAAAGTTTAGTCTTCAACAAGTGAAATGCTCAGTTGGGTTAAGACAAGGG